CAGAGTGGACATTATGATCCTGAGGAAGGTCCAAAGCATTTAGATGGCTTATCTCAAAACACATATCAAGATCTATTGGAGTCACAGGGTCATTTTAATAGCCACCGACAAGGAAGTGGAGACAGCATATTAATAGCCGTGTGAATCGCACACAGGCATCATGCTTTTCTAATAATTATATGATGGGAGATTTAAGGCATAATCAGGGTTTTCAACAACTTGGTTCAAATGGGTTTCCCCTAAGATCCACCCACCCATTTGGCCATTCAGTTGTTCCACTGTTGGATTCCTATGATTTGTTTTCTTATGATGACTTAAGCCATTTATACCCTTATTTTAATGATATGATGTATGGTGATAATTCCTTTTCTGGTTTCGTGCCAACTTTTRGATTTCAAAGACCAATTAAAACTCGAAGTGGACCAGCCAGTGAACTTCATATTCGTCTAGAAGAGTGCTATGAACAATGGAGAGCATTAGAAAAGGAGAGAAAAAAGGTAACAGAGTTATCCATTTAGGAGTAATTTAGTGTATTTCCTCTGTCAATTTTTACATTACCTTGGTGTAGTTCAAAAATATTTGCCTTGCCAGGTGTGATGGCACATGTTTATAATCGCAGTGACTCTGAAGGTTGAGACAGGAGGATCTCAATGAGGCCAGTCTCAGCAACTTGGTGAGAACCAGTTTCAAAATAAAAAAGGGCTGGGGATATGGCTCAGTAGTTAAAGTACCTGGGTTCATTTTCCAGTAACAAGAAAAAAAGTACTTACCTTTTTTTTTTAAGCTGAATTCTTCTATAATGTACAGTATTTAGGTTCACAACTATAAAGAATTATCTAGGTTATTTAAAGACTAAAGATTGAGTTTTAAAAATAACTGTTATCCATATTCTAATTTTAAAAATTTGTCTCTGGGGGCTGGGATTGTGGCTCAGTGCTTGCCTGGAATGTGTGAAGCACGTGTTCATCCTCAGCACCACACAAAAATAAATAAAATAAAGGTATTGTGTCCATCGAAAACTAAAAAGTACATATGTAAAAAAAAAATTGTCTCTGAAGTATATTTGTTTCTCTTATTGGATTAAATTTCTTTTAATTCTATTTCTTTTTTTTTTTTGGTACCGGGGTTGAATCCATGGGTGCTTTACTATTGAGCCATATCCCCAGCCCTTTTTGTTTTTTTTATTTAGGGCCTCACTAAGTTGCTGAGGCTGGTTTTGAACTTGTGATCCTTCTGCTTCAGCCTTCCAAATTGCTGGGATTATGGACGTGTACTACCACGCCTGTATGAATTCTATCAATATTAAATTGTTGGAGTATTCAGTTATTTCATATGTATTGGAACAGAAAGATACTGTGGTACTCTGGTTTATATTTACTGCCTTTTAATACCAAATCAGATTTTTTTTTTTTAAAGAGAAAGAGGGGAGAGAGAGAGAGAAAGAGAGAATTTTTAATATTTATTTATTTTTTTTTTAGTTCTCGGCGGACACAACATTTTTGTTGGTATGTGGTGCTGAGGATCGAACCCGGGCCGCACGCATGCCAGGCGAGCGCGCTACCGCTGAGCCACATCTCCAGCCCCCCAAATCAGATTTTTATTTAAAGGAGTAATTTTCCATTTATTTCTTAGGACTATGAAAAATATTATTCACAGTTGAATTATATTTAGGAAATTCAGCATCTAATGATTATATACATTTTTTTACAGACTGAATTAGCTCTTGCCAAGAATTATCCAGGGAAAAAAGTATCCAGTACTAACAATACTCCAATTCCAAGGCTGACCTCCAACCCATCTAGAGTTGATCGCTTAATTGTGGATGAACTTCGAGAACAAGCCAGAGTAAGCTATAAAAACTTACAATAGTAGAGTTTTAAATTGCTTGTTAAAATTTTAAAACTTTTCAGCACGTAAAGTTCTGAAGGATTTTTTTTTTTTTTTAGAATTTAATTTTTGTTTGTTGTTTATTTATTTATTTATTTTAGTGTGGTACTGAGGATCAAACCCAGGGCCTCACCCATCCTAGGCAAGCACTCTACCACTGAACTACAACCCCAGCCCCTGAAGCATTTTAAATTAACAATAGTATGTTAACTCTGAAATATTCTTTTCTGTTTGGTTCTAGAAAGAACTCTGATTAATATTCAGGAAAAGGAAAATTTTAAAGTAATTTGTGTAATTTAATTGGTTCCTCTTCAAACTCACTTTTTTATTTTGGCAATGAAACTAACTCTCACAGAATTTTTATTTTTTATTTTTTCAAGGTACCAGGGACTGAACTCAGAGACACTCGACCACTGAGCTACATCCCTAGCCCTTCTTATTTTCCATTTTGAGGCAGGGTCTCACTAAATTTTCCAAGCTGGCCTTGAATTTATGATCATCCTGCCTCAGCTTCCAGAGATGCTGGGATTATAGGCTTGTGCCCCCATAACTAGCAGAAAGTATGTTTTTAAAAGTAAAATCCAGCTTGGTATGGTGGCACATGCCTGTAATCCCAGCATCTTGGAAAACTGAGGCAGGAGGATTATAGGTTTGTAGGATAGCCTTATTAGCAACTTATGGAGGTCCTAAGCAACTTAGCAAGACTCTATCTCAAAATGAAAAATAAAAAGGGCTGGGGATATAGCATAGTAGTTCAATTCCTGGTATCACAAAAATAAAAAGATTAAATATATATGTACATATATATTTGTTTTCTAATTTAGTGATGATAATAAGAGGGAATTACCATATTTGATTTTCATTTTCAATTTTTAATTTTTATTCCATTTTCTTAATCTTGCATTCAACACATATTAACTGTATCCATTAAGGGGCAGGGGTTGTGGCTCAGTGGTGGAGTGCTTGCTTAGTATGTGTGGGGCACTGGGTTCAACCCTCGGCATCACTAACAAATAAAATACAGGTATTGTGTCCATCTATAACTTAAAAAAAAAAATTAAAGTATATCCATCAATGTGTTAAATACTGATAAGCTAGATAAGTAGGTATAGATAATTTTACAAAATACCTTTGTTTTGAAAGAATACTGTCACTTCAAACAAATATAAAGAATCCTGGGCTGGAGTTGTGCAGAGTGCTTGCTTAGCACACATGAGGCACTAGGTTTGATCCTCAGTACCACAAAAAAAATAAATAAAATATATTGTGTCCATCTACAAATAAAAAAAACTAAATATTAAAAAAAGAATCCTGATGTTAAGTCACATTGTAATTTAATGAGCAATGTTCCTATTATTTTTAATTTCAGAATTTTCTAAGCAACTTAGAGTAGCTATCCTTTTTTCCTTTTTCCACCTTGCTCTTTTTAAAAATAAAATTTGTTATTATTGAGTATCCATTTCTTTCTTTTACCATGAACTCTTATTTAGAAATACATAATTAGTAATTCCCTGGAGTTTGCTTTGTTTTTTGGTACTCCCTTTGTATTTTTTGCTACCCACTTTTAATTCAAATTCTTTTCCTTTACATAATACCCTCTAACAATGCTATTAGTGTTCTTATTTGCAGGCTGTTGTCTTATATGCCAAAAACAGTATCAGATTTTATATTTGCATTCTTAATGATGTGGGCATTTTTTAATATTTGACTCTGAGCAATCAACTTCGAAAGTTTTTAGAATTAACATATACAACTAAGTATAACTTTTCCATTTTTTGTTTCTCCCATCATGGTCCTAGGATACAGTAAACATTCATTTATTTATTGAATGACTTTTTTTGCTCTTACCGCTATTATGCTTCACTGAAGTTTTTTTTTTTTTGGGGGGGGGTACCAGGGATTGAACTCAGGGGTCACTCAACCACTGAGCCACATCCCCAGCTCTATTTTGTATTTTATTTAGAGACAGGGTCTCACTGAGTTGCTTAGTGCCTTGCTGTTGCTGAGGCTGGCTTTGAAGTTGTGATTCTCATCTCTCAGCCTCCCGATGAAGATTTGTTTTTATTTAAGTTGGTCAGGTCAAGTGGTTACATGCCTTATCAAAATTTAAAATGTCTCCCTCAGGTTGTGACTTTACTAGGCAAAATGGAACGTCTTCGAAGCTCTCCCCTTCATGCCAATATCTCTACTGCTCTTGATAGACACTTGGAATCCATTCACATTGTACAGTCACGTAGAAAGGATGAAATTGTTAATGCTTCAAATCGGCAAAGGCAAGGAGTGCCTAGATGCCAAGATGAAAGAGGTACAAATATTAATGCAGATTATTTTTACAAGGCTATGTGATAATTTCAATGTTAATAAAACCATATTCTGGGATTAAAAGGTTGGATTTCTAAAATTAACACTTATCTAAAGAACAAATTGGGGCTGGGCTCAATGGCACACACTTGTTATTCCAGCTACTTGGAAGGCTAAGACAGGAGGATTGCAAGTTCAAGACCAGGCTCAGCAATTTTGTGAAACCTTATCTCAAAAAAAGGAATGAAAAGGGCCAAGGATGTAATTCAGTGATGGAACGCCCCTGGGTTACTGAAAGAAAAGGGGAGTGATAAATGACCTCCACACTTATTTATTCCAAAAGTAGTTTCTTCTAGTATAATTTTACCAATTGAATTGTAATACCTGTCTTCAGATAATCTGTTTTACCCAGAGCATAGTCATTGTAGCACAAGCCAGAAAGAAATTTAATAATTCTTTTTTTTTTTTTT